CTTCCTTCCTTCCTTCCTTCCTTCCTTCCTTCCTTCCTTCCTTCCTTCCTTCCTTCCTTCCTTCCTTCCTTCCTTCCTTCCTTCCTTCCTTCCTTCCTTCCTTCCTTCCTTCCTTCCTTCCTTCCTTCCTTCCTTCCTTCCTTCCTTCCTTCCTTCCTTCCTTCCTTCCTTCCTTCCTTCCTTCCTTCCTTCCTTCCTTCCTTCCTTCCTTCCTTCCTTCCTTCCTTCCTTCCTTCCTTCCTTCCTTCCTTCCTTCCTTCCTTCCTTCCTTCCAGAGCCCTTCTTTCTTTTTTGCTGCAAAAAGCTTTATTGTTTCATTTGGTCCAATGCATGGGAGAGGGCTCCAGGGTGGTTAAAAGAATGACTAGTAGTTTTGGGAAGAGGCTTAGGTAAAAGCCAGAGACAACAGGGGATGCAGAGGGCCTCTGAAATGCCTCTGAGCTCCAAAGGCTCCTAGTCGTGCTTGAGGGTGAGCCAGCCTGTGGATGTTAGTCAGGTGGTCACCCATCTTTTGATCAATTTCACCTCCTCATCCAGGAAATGGTTCTCCAGGAAGTCACAGAGATGAGGGTCTGCAATTTGACCCTTATCTTTTACTAGAAGCCCGGTGCACAAATTTGTGCATGGTGGGGTCCCTCGGCCTGGCCGGTGATTGAGGCCTATCAGGGGGCTGGCCAGCTGAGGGGAGAGACCCCAAGAGGTTGGCTAACCAGCCCCCTGATTGGGGCCAATGGGGGGCCCAGCTGGGGAAGGGGAGAGGGGCTGCAGGAGTTTGGTGGGGGAGGGGAGAGGAGGGGCCATGGGAGGTTGGCTGTGGGAGCGCACTGACTACCAGGAGGCAGCTCCTGCATTGAGTGTCTGCCCTCTGGTGGTCAGTGCACATCATAACGACTGGTCGACCGGTCGTTCTGGTTGTTCGGTCGTAATGGTCGCTTAGGCTTTTATATATGTATAGATAATATTGAGATGCTATATACACTTTACCCAGTTTCTCCCAATGGTAATATTTTGAAATTATAATATAATATTATGTTATTGATATCATCCACCTATCTAATCCAGGTTTTTTCCAATTTTACTTTTACACAATTACATATGTATTTAGTCCTCTATATTATTTCACATAGTTAGCTTCATGTATCCACTACCATAGTACCTAATTTATTGGACATGAAGATGAAAATTTTATAAATTAGAACTTGGGTATATTACTATTAATTATATGAGATGATTTTTTTTACTTCCACTTGATCTCCAGTTGGCAATGACAATAAGCCTAACATATTTATTTCCTTCATAAAGTGAAGGAAACTATTTTAATGGACAATATGCCCATTAACACAATTTGGAGGTTGCAGAAATGTTCAAATAAGAAGATAATTTTCTGGATCCCATCATGCAGAAGTAAAACAATTCTAACAGGCTTTTGCCTTCCAGCTGTATGTACTTGCATCTACAAAGAAACATTTTTCTTTTTTACCAAGTTGAGGTAACACTATGGATTCAATTTCATGTTCTACTTTGTAAAAAAAATATATTTTTATTGATTTCAGAGAGGAAGAGAGAGGGACTGAGAAATAGGAACATCAATGATGAGAGAGAATCATTGATCAGGTGCTTCCTGCATGTCCCCTACTGGGGATTTAGCCTGAAACCTGGGCATGTGCCTTGACTGGGAATTGAACCTTGACCTCCTGGTTATAGGTCAATGCTCAACCACGGAGCAACACTGGCCTGGCTTGTGTTCAGTTGTTGTTGTTTTTTTTGAGTTTATTATAAAAAAATTTTTATGTCTGAGACATTTTTGAAAATGCAATTAAACCTATATTTTCTTGATTCTACAAAGTTTGAAATGTACAGAAAATATGAGAAGGGAAAAAATCTGTAATCCTCCCACTGAGAAAGAACCACTTATACATTAGTATTCCCTTCCACGCTGTGCATTTCTTGGTGTCCATAGTCAAATAAATAAAACTTAAATATCCATGGTAACTCCTTATTTAATTTCTTCTCTTAAGTGAATAATATTTTGAAAAATGAATTTTAAAAGTAATTTGTCATTATGTAATTAATATGATTAGTAAATTCATATTTTCACATTTTGTAGAACTTTTGATTTTTTTTTAATTTTATTTTTTAATTTATTTATTTATTAAATCTTTATTGTTCAGATTACATTTGTTCCTCTTTCCCCCCCCCCCCCTAACCCCCCCCCCCCCCGTTCCCCCCCCCCCCCCCCCCCCCCCCCCCCCCCCCCCGTCCCCATCCCTAGGGGCACGATTACATCAGATTATTTATTCACTTGGTTCTTAGATTCACTTGTTGATAGATGCATGTTTGTTGTTCACAATTTGTATCTTTACCTTTTTCTTCTTCCTCTTCTTAAAGGATACCTTTCAGCATTTCGTATAATACTGGTTTAGTGGTGATGAACTCCTTTAGCTTTTCCTTATCTGTGAAGCTCTTTATCTGACCTTCAATTCTGAATGATAGCTTTGCTGGATAAAGTAATCTTGGTTGTAGGTTCTTGGTATTCATCACTTTGAATATTTCTTGCCATTCCCTTCTGGCCTGCCAAGTTTCTGTTGAGAAATCAGCTGACAGTCGTATGGGTATTCCCTTGTAGGTAATTGAGTCTCTTTCTCTTGCTGCTTTTAAGATTCTCTCTTTGTCTTTTGCTCTTGGCATTTTAATTATGATGTGTCTTGGTGTGGTCCTCTTTGGATTCCTTTTGTTTGGGGTTCTCTGCGCTTCTTGGACCTGTAAGTCCATTTCTTTCACCAGGTGGGGGAAGTTTTCTGCCATTATTTCTTCAAATAGGTTTTCAATATCTTGCTGTCTCTCATCTTCTGGCACCCCAATTATTCTGATGTTTGTACGCTTGAAGCTGTCCCAGAGGCTCCTTACACTATCTTCGTATTTTCGGATTCTTTTTTCATTTTGCTTTTCCGGTTGGGTGTTTTTTGCTTCTTCGCATTTCAAATCTTTGGCTTGATTCTTGCGCTCCTCTGGTCTGCTATTGGGTGTCTGTATAATATTCTTTATTTCAGTCCGTGTATGCTTAATTTCTAGTTGGTTCTTTATCATAGCATCGAGGGTCTCATTAGTTTTCGTGACTCTCTCCTCAAGTTTATTGACAGCTTCTAGCACATTTTTGCAAGCCCTCAAAATTGCGATTTTTAGCTCTATATCCTCCATTTCTGTCATGTTTTTTTGTCTCCGCATTTTTTATGCTTTCTTGGTGCACCCCCTAGTGGTCTTTGTGCGCAGTCTTGTTCTAGTTGAGCCTTGATTGTTGTAGTTAATACTAGAGGGATTTGACCACCAGGCCGACTGGCTGTGTGAATCAGCTGTGTCTGCCGCGGAAAACTTCTGTCCTCTGGGGAGGTGCTAATCTAGCCTTTGCCTGAGGCGATCTGGCAAATGGCTCTGCGCAGGGCTTGGGCGGGGCGGGCTCAACAGGGCGGGCGGAGGGAGCCGTTATGGTGCCCTCAGTCCTGTTCCCAGAGGCTCTGCTTCTCAGAACCCCCGGAACCGCTGCAAACCTCGGAGGGAAAGCTGCCTTCCAACTGATGCCAGACACTCCCGCTTCTCCCGTTTGGGTCCGAGTCCCCAGCGATTCGCCCGTATCTGGAGCTCAGAGTCTGAGACTCCCCCCTGACCGAAAACGACAACCGCGCTCTCAGCCACCAGCCCGCTTTGCGCGCGCACCTCCGCACCTGAGTTTTTTCCACACTGCGCCTCCTCTGAGCCTCGGTGTGCTGTTATTTTTCCTTCTAGTTGAAGAGTCTCTCCTCAGCCAGCCTTCCTGTGGTTCTGGGTGATGTCCGTTCCGTCTTTTAGTTGTATTTTTGAAGTGGTTGTTTGCGGCAGCAATCTCCAGTGTTTACCTATGCCGCCATCTTGGTCTAAAATCGAACTTTTGAATTTTTAAAGGACTTTTTAATCCAAGAAAATTTATTATAACATTTTCCCCATAAAATTTATTTGTACATGTGTGAAAGTTTAAAAGTTAAATTCTTAACAGCCATTTTATGTTAGAGTTGTTAGGAAGATAGGTAGGTGTGTGTGTGTGTGTGAGTGTGTGTGAGTGTGTGTGAGTGTGTGTGACAAATGTGGAATCTCAAGACAGATTGGTCTCTTTTTTCATCTGGATGGCCTTGGGCAAGCTTCAACTTCTATGAACTTCAGTTTTTTCATTTTTTATATTATAATGCTAGTACAGGCTTGTTTTAAGGAGCCAACAACACAAAATCTGTGAAAGGACTTCTTAAATTATAAATATCAAATGTTAATAGTTATTATTCAAAGATCACCAGGAAAGAAAAATAAAAGGCAAAGGCAGTTTTTTTCCTGTAAACCTCCCCTGAGAATATATATTTTTATTGGCTTTTAGAGAGAGAGGAAGGGAAAGAGGAGAAACATCAATGTGAGAGAGAAAGATCAATTGGTTGCCTCTGGCACGTGCCCTGACTGGGGATCAAATCAGCAACCTATGTGTGTGCTCTGACTGGGAATTGAGCCCATAACCTTTTGGTGTATGGGACAATGCTCCTACCTACCAAGCCACACCAGCCAGGGCCAATGGCAGTTTTTGATTCCAGCAAGTTATGGTCAGATTTTTTTTAGAATATGGAAATTGGGTATAGAAACCTTCCTGTAAGGTTTGCCTTGACTTTCATATCTTTTTTTTACCAAAATGTACAAATTTTCCTAACTGACCACCTGTCTAGATATTAGGGCAAGAGAGAATATAATTCTTTTTGTACTGTTTTAACTTTGAACAAATCATTATTTTGGTACTTAGATA